AATGTTTATTTTTATATTTATCTTACAGAATAAAGTGAGGCTGTGCTCATTTTGAATACCAGGTCATGTGTGAAAGTTCAAAAAAGCAACATTTTGTTACTAAATATTAAAACACAGCTTCAATATATTTCCTAAGTTCAGTGATCACTTAATTTCCAAAGTAAATATTCAGTAACAGTCTGTACTTTTTCAGTAAATCAACCAATTAAGTCACCAGCACAGTGATTCATCCCAGCACAGTTGGAACTTTTAACCCAACAAAGCAAGCAATGTCCGCTATGCTGTCTTTTTAGATAACCCATAGTGCTCTGGGAATTGTTTGCCGCATATTGAATATTTATTTACATGGCTTGTTTTGAAGTAATGTGAACTAAGGCAAAACTTTGTTTTCAACTTATATATAGCGTAAGGGAGGGTTATAACCTTGTCATTTTTTTTGCCATCTGTGTCCCATTGTTGCGATTTCCTGTCCCATAGCCAAAACAAGAAGTGAGAGGAAATCCCTCCAAAGTGAGTGGATCTATAGGTGTCATTGGGGTCAAAGGAACTAGTGTCCCCATTAGAAGATTTCCCCTTTATTCCTGTTCTTTTGTCCGCTCAGATTTTCTTTTACATTCACTTTTGGCGGTAATAGTAAAACAGGACAAATAGAGAGGATGAGACTCCCTAAATGGGACACAGGCAGCAATACAAATCTCACAGGTGTTCTAATCCCCCTTCACTTTATCCAAAACACTTTTTTCAATAGATAATTTATTTTGGTGAAATATCAGATGTGCCCTCTATATAGAGGATCTGTATATATTTTGGTTTTACTTTATCCATTTTTATTAATTGTAATCGATTGGTCAGGTATTGGAATTTGGTGGCCGAATAATTTTATAAAATTTTTTTATATACATTTACTTTATGTTTTTTACCCTTTTTTTTTAAAAAAAAACCCTATTTTTTTACTTTCTATGTTTTTAAATGTATTTAATTTAAATGTTGTATTTATATTTATTTTAATATTTTAATAGCCCAATTTATAATAAATGTTGGTGAAATATCAGGTCTGACTTCTATATAGAGGACCTGTATATATTTTGCTTTTTGTTTTATTTTACTCATTTTTAGTGATTGTAATCAATTGGTCAGGTACTGCAATTTGGTGGCCAAATAATTTTTATTTTTTTTTATGCATAAACCATACCTTACATGAAACCCGTGCTGAGTACAATGTGCAACATTCTATAGTTATGATAGGTTGAAGTACCTGGGAGAAGAATGCAGTCCAGGGGAACTTATTACTCCAGAAATGCACTTCTTTCAGGTCAGTGGATCAGAACTTTTTATAGTTACTTGATCAGCATAAGAGATAGCATTTTCAGAGAGGCCTACAGTTAATATGGCAGCTGTATTTTCTTCGTACTCCATCTTTTTGTGGTTCAAAGTAATATTTTAATTGTATAACTGTAGCTTTCCTTCAAAATTCCTCATATTAGGTGACTCAGTTGTGAACATCAGTGTAATGGGTAGATAAAAAGGATTTATACAAAAAAAAAAAAAAAACTCAAAGATCGCTCTGTACATTAAAGATCTTATTGCATCTCTGGCTCAGTAAGGAGACATCTGTGACCAGTAAGATCAAGGGATTTGTATAAAATCAGACAAATTCAGAAGTGGGAGACTTTTTACAGACTGCTTGTCCTAATGTGACAGCACTTTGTGCAAATATGTCTTGTTCTACTTATCACCAACCACCCAGCTTGCTTTCCCTGTATGCACATAGTCGCTGCCTGTAATGAACAATATTATTTGGTTTCTGATTTACAGCATGTTTGCCTTTTAAATCTTTTCATTAGTTTGCTGGCTTTGCTTGGATGATCTGCTTGCTGTATACTTCATGGATACTTATTACTATAATTGCCCTTGCTCACAAAATTTTCCTTCTCAGTAATCCCTTCTGCTCCTCGCAGAGAGAATCCATCTTTCATCTTGTCAAAAGCAGTTAACAGAGTGTGGGGCTCGTTTATCAAAATCCCTACAAATTAGTAACTGTTAATTTATGCTAATTAGCATGCGCTGATAACGACATGTATGTTAGCGCTATCATAGAATGAGACCTTGATAGCATCTCTCCAACCTTCCATGACATTCTATTAACTATTGTGAATCAGTGTAAGCTAATTGTTTTTAAATAAGCACTCATTTTGTCACAGTTTAGAGTTAATGACACTTGAATACATGTACACTGTCTGCATTTGTTGATGTCTGATTTAAAATATTTACGGGATGTGTGAAAATATTCTCCTCTGTGATACAACTGTTCTGAATGATTTCGGCACTTTCATAGGACAACATAACCAATGTGTGTTGGGTAAAAATGTGTGCGTCAGATAGGAGCCAGGTTCAAAGAATTTGGATTGCTTTCTATGCTCCCCTTTTTACTCAGATACCGTAAGCTGATTCTGTGTATTTGAAGCCCATGGGGTGATAATTGGACATTTACAGTGTAATTGATGAGTGGAAAGCAACTTTAGATGGTTCCTAAAAGAAAGATGTAGATAACTACTGAATAAGAGAAAACAATGTGACAATAACTGCATCAAAATAGAAAAAAATCTAATATACTGAAATGTAATAATTAGAGATGAGCGAATTATTCAAAAATTCGATTCGACTGATTCGGCGAATTCGTGAAAAAATTTTGATTCGAGTCGAATATATTCGCTGCGAATTTAACTTATAAAAGGGTGTTTCTAGGCTTCAGAGAGCCTTTATATTAGTGCAGAACACTGTACCTTTAATTTAAATGCCCTTGGAGTCTGCTGGGGAAGAGAAATAATACTGACAGTCAGTATGACATGCAGATGAGTGCCGTCGATCTTAGAATCACCGCACACTTCACTCATTTGGGCAGTCACGGGGCCAAAACCAGAGTGTGGAGCCACAGTGTGGCGGTGGAGGCAGCAGCAACGGGAGGCCATACAGCACCCTATGACAAAAATGGAAACCACCAGCAGTGTGAGGAGACCTGAAAGTGGCACATGGAAGAGTGTGGCGATGGAGACAGCAGCAATGGGAGGCCGTACAGGGACCCATGAGACACTCTGGACCTGGCAGCAGCATGAGGAGGCGGTACAGGGGCCCATGACAGATTACGGGCCTGGCAGCAGCATGAGGAGTTGGTACGGGGGCCCATGGCAGATTACGGGCCTGGCAGCAGCAATGGGAGGCCGTACAGGGACCCATGACACACTCTGGACCTGGCAGCAGCATGAGGAGGCGGAACAGGGGCCCATGACAGATTACGGGCCTGGCAGCAGCATGAGGAGTCGGTACGGGGGCCCATGACACACTCTGGACCTGGCAGCAGCATGAGGAGGCGGTACAGGGGCGCATGACAGATTACGAGCCTGGCAGCAGCAACTTGGACAGGAGGACGTTCAGCTTCTGCACCGTCGGGTGCGTGCTCGCAAACTGTTGTCTCTTGGAAACGGATTCCAAGAAAGACTGCTGACGGAATCCGTGAAGAGGAGTAGCAGGAGAAGGAGCATCTGAACGAGCGGAATATGCCAACAAGCGACAACAGGGGCCCATGACAGATTACGGGCCTGGCAGCAGCATGAGGAGTCGGTACGGGGGCCCATGGCAGATTACGGGCCTGGCAGCAGCAATGGGAGGCCCGTAATCTGCCAGCACCCTATGACAAAAAATGGAACACACCAGCAGTGTGTGAGGAGACCTGAAAGTGGCACATGGCAGAGTGTGGCGATGGAGACAGCAGCAATGGGAGGCCATACAGGGACCCATGAGAGACTCTGGACCTGGCAGCAGCATGAGGAGGCGGTACAGGGGCCCATGGCAGATTATGGGCCTGGCAGCAGCTATGGGAGGCCCGTAATCTGCCAGCACCCTATGACAAAAAATGGAACCCACCAGCAGTGTGAGGAGACCTGAAAGTGGCACATGGCAGAGTGTGGCGATGGAGACAGCAGCAATGGGAGGCCGTACAGGGACCCATGAGAGACTGTGGACCTGGCAGCAGCATGAGGAGGCGGTACTGGGGCCCATGGCAGATTACGGGCCTGGCAGCAGCAATGGGAGGCCCGTAATCTGCCAGCACCCTATGACAAAAAATGGAACACACCAGCAGTGTGAGGAGACCTGAAAGTGGCACATGGCAGAGTGTGGCGATGGAGACAGCAGCAATGGGAGGCGGTTCAGGGACCCATGAGACACTGTGGACCTGGCAGCAGCATGAGGAGGCGGTACAGGGGCCCATGGCAGATTAAGGCCTGGCAGCAGCAATGGGAGGCCCGTAATCTGCCAGCACCCTATGACAAAATGGAACCCTGGGCTGGGGCAGGCAGAACCGCCGTATCTTTATCACGGTTTTCCCAGGCCACCGAATGGCGACGCTGCATATGCTGACGCAACGCTGTAGTCCCAACATGGGCCCCCTGGCCACGCTTGACTTTCTGGCCACATAGTCGACATACGGCTACGTTTACTTCCTCGGGCGGCTTGACGAAAAAAATTGCCACACTGCCGAGTAGGAAACTTTGCCCCCGCTACTCCTCACTGGCTGACTGCTACTTCCTCAGTGCACACCGGCACCACTACTGGCCGTGGTGGTAGGCTGCAGTGGAGCTGGTGCTCTACTCCGTGGCCGTTTGCCTCCACTGACACTGCTGCGAACCTGCTGCCTCCTGGCAGCAGCAATGGGAGGCCGTACAGGGACCCATGACACACTCTGGACCTGGCAGCAGCATGAAGAGGCGGTACAGGGGCCCATGGCAGATTAGGGGCCTGGCAGCAGCTATGGGAGGCCCGTAATCTGCCAGCACCCTATGACAAAAAATGGAACACACCAGCAGTGTGAGGAGACCTGAAAGTGGCACATGGCATGAGACACTGTGGACCTGGCAGCAGCATGAGGAGGCGGTACAGGGGCCCATGGCAGATTAGGGGCCTGGCAGCAGCTATGGGAGGCCCGTAATCTGCCAGCACCCTATGACAAAAAATGGAACACACCAGCAGTGTGAGGAGACCTGAAAGTGGCACATGGCATGAGACACTGTGGACCTGGCAGCAGCATGAGGAGGCGGTACAGGGGCCCATGGCAGATTAGGGGCCTGGCAGCAGCTATGGGAGGCCCGTAATCTGCCAGCACCCTATGACAAAAAATGGAACACACACCAGCAGTGTGTGAGGAGACCTGAAAGTGGCACATGGCAGAGTGTGGCGATGGAGACAGCAGCAATGGGAGGCCGTACAGGGACCCATGAGACACTGTGGACCTGGCAGCAGCATGAGGAGGCGGTACAGGGGCCCATGGCAGATTACGGGCCTGGCAGCAGCAATGGGAGGCCCGTAATCTGCCAGCACCCTATGACAAAAAATGGAACACACCAGCAGTGTGAGGAGACCTGAAAGTGGCACATGGCATGAGACACTGTGGGACCTGGCAGCAGCATGAGGAGGCGGTACAGGGGCCCATGGAAGATTAGGGGCCTGGCAGCAGC